CTGAGCCTGAGCCCGAACGTGAGGCAACCCCGCCCCCGCGCCTGCTGCTCCCGAGGAGCCCCCTGCGCCTCCGGAGTTCCGCTGTCAAGTGTGCGGCCAGAGCTTTACACAGTCCTGGTTTCTCAAGGGTCACATGCGCAAGCACAAGGCCTCCTTTGATCATGCGTGTCCTGTGTGTGGCCGCTGCTTCAAGGAGCCCTGGTTCCTTAAGAACCACATGAAGGTGCACACCAGCAAGCTTGGTCCACTGCGTGCCCCGGGGCCTGGTTCTGGGCCTGCCAGGGCCCCCCAGCCTCCTGACCTGGGCCTGCTGGCCTATGAGCCCCTGGGCCCTGCGCTCCTCTTGGCCCCGGCGCCCACCCCGGCTGAACGCCGTGAGCCTCCAAGCCTTCTGGGCTACCTGAGCCTGCGAGCTGGCGAGACCCGGCCCAATGGTGAGGGTGCTGAGCCTGGGGCTGGCCGCAGCTTTGGAGGCTTCCGCCCACTCCCCTCTGCTCTCCCGGCCCGGGCTCGCCGGCACCGTGCGGAGGAACCAGACGAGGAAGAGGAGGTGGTGGATGCAGAGGAAGAGACCTGGGCTCGGAACAGGGCGCTGGGCCCTCTGGCCTCACTGCCCCCGCGCCCAAGCGAGGGCCCAGGGCACTCTGCGCCCGCTGCGGGGACCCAGGCAAGGTCCACCACCACCACCACGCAGGGTACGTAAGGGGTCTCCTCTCTCAGAGGTTTTCCACATCCTGGGCCCACCCTGAGGACACCACTGCCCTCCTGTTCCTTTTTTTTGTTTTTTTAAAGGACCTGTCTCATTTCTCACTTTTAAACCCCCGGAGTTTTTACCAACTTTTGCGAACAGAGCTTAACTCACGACAAATCCAATCCCTCAGGTTCCCGTAAACAGATAACTGTTTCCTCCAGGGCCCCGAGGGGAAGCAATCCTGTGGTGGGTGTGAGGGCCCATGGCCTTGATAGGGCTAAGGCAAAGGGTCTGTCTGACTTCTCTTAATGTGTGTATTGCAGAAGAGAATGGCCTCTTAGTTGGAGGGAGCCGGCCTGAAGGGGGTCGGGGTGCCACTGGCAAGGATTGCCCCTTCTGCGGAAAATCATTCCGCTCAGCGCATCACCTCAAAGTGCACCTGCGAGTGCACACAGGTGAGGGGGCAGCTTCCAGGGTGGCAAGAGGGGTGAGGGCTACGGGAAAAGGCCGGGAGAATGACGTTCGCAGCCGTCAGACTGGCCAGATGAGATCGTTGGGAAACGCTTCTTAGTAAATCAGAGGGGGTTGGAGGTGTTTTTTGTTTTTGTTTTTCCTGGTCCAGAGACGGTCTGTACATGGAGC